TAGCCAATGGCGATTCAATTGCCAAGGTGTCCGTAGAGGGCTGGAGAGAATTGTTATTTTAACCGGAGACCAGAAACATACTCCAGACAGAATACAAGTATGTGTTAAATTAATGATGAGTGACTTAGAATTAACACACACAAATATGCATAGCAAAAAATTTGACTTTTGAAGATTAACTGTAACGTGTTACTATGTTCAGAAGACTGAATGTGTTCCGGCAAGACATTCTACCTCTGACCAGTTGACACGTCTTTTGTTTCTAATTATTATCTGTAATTTTACCAGGTCCTGGTGCTTTTAAACTGTTCCTTTTTATGAGGTTAAAAGTGCAGCTTATATATATATATATATATTTTTTTTTTTGCACACAAAATTAATGCATACAACTATACATTTTAAAATAGCTGTTCTTTAATAAAATAGCCCTGGGTGTAACATAATAACACACATATTTTTAAGTTAAAATTGTATTTAATTATTAATAAATGCTTTTTTTTTTTTAAGTTAGGGCAAACTGTTTAAGTGTTACCAAATAGTAGAGTATTCTGGTGGAAATTTCTGATTTCTAATGAGAATACTTAATTTAATTAATGAATAATAATAATTATTATTATTATTGTTAACAACAACAATAATAATAATAATAATAGTATTATTGATTATGATGATGATGATGATATTAAACATATGATCCTTATCACTTACAAAATGTTGTAGCTAATGAGAAACGAGTTGGCACAATTTTATACAACGGCTGATCAGGACACAGCACATTGAGAAATGTCGACTTGTTGAAAAAAAAAATGCAGCTGGATCAGTGTAATTAAGAAACTTATTATAATGTCAACTGTTAGAAGTATCTGCATACTTATATAAGCTATCGTTACATATAAACAACCCCTGAAAAGGCCTGACGATTGCGAGCTAATGAAGAAGCTATTCAGTTAAGAGGGAAAAAGATGGATTATACTTACATTCCTAGATTCAGATGTTTAATGTTTTTGCTAACTGTATCCGGTCTGAATTCGAGGCACAGGAGACACCACCATAAGTATTTACCGTTTGTTTTCTGTAATTTGGACATCTCGCATAATAGAGCAGCAGACGCTTGAGGATCATACGACAAATAGGACTCAACAATTTACTGGACAAACAGTTTGTAAGCTATCAATAATAACCCAATCACACCATACTAATCATTTTTACGCTTGGTCTAGATGCGACAGGCTCACAAAACACACTGAAAAAAAGGTTTACATGTATTTAAGAGCACAAGCAACTTCCTTCTAACATTAACCGCCAATTTTTTTTTTGAGCGAGTTGTCTGCGTCCGTGGCTAAACGTCGCAAAACTTTGTCAGGACAGCCTTTGTGTAATCCTGATTTATATCTAAAATTGATAGGCTAAAGCAAAATGGCGAAGGCGTCATTCAAATTGGCGAAGGTCTATTCAGTGTGTTTATATATCTGGATTTATGTGCACGAGAATACGAGTGCTCGAGAATGTTGCATGTACTGGAACACGACCAATAAGATTGGGCGGGACCTCGCTCGAATACGTTTTTATCCCTACTACGGCAAGCCGAAAAGATCAAATATCAAAATAGGACGCGTTCTTTGTTTCAGAAGCAGATTGTCTGAAAAAACCCCAAATCTACCCCAATCTTCTCTGCAGTCTTTGGATCCTGATGAGTCTACTGTTGGTCGAATTTGTTTTTCTTTTTCCTCTATTAAACACAATAATCGACATGTTCGGTCTCTTTTTCAAAGGTTTCTATAACTATTATAACTTTATGGAATAGTTGTGTTTATGGTGTTGATGGTCTGATATGTATGGAAGAAAAATAATGCCATATGTCTTTGAAACAAAAAAGCATGTTGAATAGCACTAACTGAAAAAAAGAATGCATTGCATTAACAGTGCTTGCATTTTAATGCCTTGTATTTCCAGGGCTTGCATTTAGGTCCTGAAATTTATCATAGTTGTTTATTTAAGCTGCGAATATATAAAAATATTTCACACACATTTTCATAATTAAAAATGCAATAATTAATGTTCACCTTCCAGAATTCACTTCCAAAATATTCAATCTGTTTAAAAAATACGATGTATAATATTCGACAGGCAAATTTCGGTCCATTTTATTTCACTTTCCAAATTCGCTTCCACACATTCAGTTAGCGCTATTCAACATGTTTTTTTTGTTTCAAAGACATATGGCATTATTTTTCTTCCATAGATAGATATGGCATAAAATATGGAAATTACCTCATAAATATTTAATAACAAATAAAATACATTTCTTTCAAACTCGTTTATAAATATTACCCTCCCTAGCAATATTACATTGTAAACGGATTTAATTGTGATGTTGATATTCTTTGTACATTTTGTGGTCTACATACAGAAACGTATTTTTTTGGGGGGTGTGGGGGGATTCAGCTTTCAACTTTGTTTTAAAATTGTTTTATTATTATTATTAGTAGTAGTAGTAGTATTAAGGGAAGTTTATATGGACACATCCTCGACCCCTCGATTTTTTTTTATTTATTTATTTTTTTTATTAATGCCAAAACACTTAAAACAAGCATATAACCACAACAACCTCAAAAACAATAGAGGACAAAATACAAAAAAATAATACAAGATAGAAAGTAAAAAATACATAGATAAATGAATAAATAAATAAAACTAAGAACAAACAAATAAATAACATAAACCAGAGGGGGAAAATTATACAAGGTTAAACATTGAAAGCAATTTTTTACTTTTGAATGATTTTTTGTTTTTTATGCCCATCAAGGATAAAACGTAAGAATTATAGTCAACCAGGAAAATTGACAGTACTGGGTTCTTACCCAAAAATTTACACTTATGAATAAAAAATTTGCCAAGTATAATAAAAAGATTAACAATATATTGAATCCCAAAGTTAGAGTTATAATAAAAGAAAATAATATCAAAAGTGTTGATACATATTCTAACATTTGTTTTATCTGAGAGATAGGTACATAACTCATTCCAAAAAATTTTTACACAAACACATTCACAAAAAAGATGTACAATGGTCTCTTCTATATCACAGAAAGTACATTTTTTTTCAATATTTTGCATATACTTACTAAGTACACTATTACAAGGGTAGCATCTATGTAATATTTTAAATGTGACTTCTTTTATTTTGTTTGTTAATACATATTTGTGTGGAAGAGACCAAGCGACACTCCAATTAACATTGTACAATGCCATCCATTTAAAAGAAGACGCTGGAATAGATTTTCTGTTGATATGATTTCGAACAAAGCGGTTATTGAATTTGTCCTCAACAATCAAAATCCCTTCTACTGAGATAGAACTGTTAGGCCTATATATAGAAACAGGATTAAAGGTTTGCTCTCCTTTCAATAGAGTTTTTATACCATTAGGAATGGCATTAAATACAGTGTTATATTCTTTTGACCCCTCGATTTTTGACACTTCAGGCCGCTCCATAGACCACAATGCAACACGATTATGACGTCATCGCAGATCCCCACCCCAATCACCTCTATAATATATATATATATATATAACATTTATAACAGCCCAACCTATATAAATATAGAATTCTGCACCAAACAAATCCGTAAGGGAAATGTAAACAATAAACCAACTCCATAGCAGATTCTAATCAAGGGCTTAGGACGTTCAAGTTCAGCCCATTGCAAGGGTTCCGACAGTAGTGGGCACTTATGCAATGTATTTTTTTTAATTTTATTATATTTTTTTTATTAATGCTTGAACTACAAATACAAAACAAAAGTGGCAAGGGTATACACAAAAAAAACATAAAAAGTACATATTAACTATACATGTATATATAAAACCAACAAATAAAATAAAATAATGAAAAAATGAAAGGCCTTGTTAAATCACAATAACATAAGTATACCAAATAAATACACAGTTTTTACAGCTTTTTTGTTTGTATATACAGATATCTAATTCCTTAAATACAACAGAAAAGAGAGGTTTCTGATTGCTGAATTTACAGCGGTGAATATGAAATTTAACAAGTATAATCAAGAGATTGATAATGTAAGCCTCATTTTCAAACTTCTTGTCATAGCTCAAAAAGCCAAATATTACATGTTCATATAGTAGAAGAAAGTTGCACAACACTTTGTCATTTATAAATCTAGAAACCTCCCACCATAACCTCTTTGCATATTGACAATGCCAGAAAATATGAGGTACCGTTTCTGGGTGTAATGAACAGAATGAACAATTTACATCTATATCTTCAATAAATCTGGTTTAAAAATGCTTAGCAGGGTAACATTTGTGCAGTATCTTAAATGGAATTTCTTTAATTTTATTTGTAATGAGATATTTATTAGGTAATACCCAAACTTTCCTCCAATTAATTTTTCCAATAAACTTCGACCAATAGAAAATAGCACTTGGTTTACTAACAATTTATTTTTGAAATAATAAACGTATAGCCTTATTTTTTTTGCTAGATGAAAAACAAATTCTGCCACAGAAAGTGTCAGCAGGGTGAAGTAAAGAAGCATGTTTAGAGTAGGAAATACCTCTACATAAAGACACAATACTAGAAGAGATAGCTCCAATCACAGAGGCATATTCTTTTTGGGGGGGAAATTAAAATATGAAAAATTCATCATAAGTCATTAAATACCCCTGAGAATGCAACAACTGTCCTACCAAAATAATCCCTTTATCAAACCAGGTTTTCATAAATATACTCTTGTGTTTATACAGAATATTACAATTATTCCAGATATAATACTGGTGTGGAGAAAAATTGTGCTTGTATATTAACTTCCAAGCCAAAAGCACTTTCCTGTGAAAAGCTGACAATTTAACAGGCAGTTTTTCAATTTTGTAATCACACATTAACAAAAATGAGAGACCACCAAGTTGGTCAAAAACAGTAGTAGATACTGTATTCCACACAGAAGAAGGGTTTTTCAAAAAATACTTCAACCAGTTAATTTTGAAAGTGTTATTTAAGATAGAAAAATCTAAATAATCAAGACCACCATTTTTATATGAATTAACTACCACAGATTTTCTAATATAATGCACACGGTTTTTCCACAAAAAATTAACATTGTTTGATCAATTATCTTATTTATTTTACTATCTGAATGAATTGAGGAAGCAACATAGGTAAGCCTAGAGATACCTTCCGCTTTAGCCAGCAGAGCACGACCTTTAAGAGATAAATCCCTCTGTAACCAAATATTAAATCTGCTCTTTACTTTTTTTGATTACAGGATTAAAATTTTGTGAGATTCTGTCCTGTTCATTTTTGGAAATAGCCATACCTAAATAGATTGGAGCATCCTTTACGGGAATATTACAAATGGATTTGTCATGGCAACTCTTCAAGGCAAACAATTCACATTTTTGTAAATTCAAGCAAAGACCCGAGGCACTGGAAAAAATGTCAATAATTTTGATAGCCGACTGAATTTGACAAGCATTTTTTTTTAAAAGAGCCATGTCATCGGCCACTTATGCAATGTATATACTCATGCATGCATGCATCAATGACGTATATCCAAGTAAACGAGACGGAGGGAAGTTTGCGAGTGAAGGGCATAAAAAAACGAACTGGAACGCAGCCCTTATCAGTTACTCTTCAATGCTCCATATCTTCACAGATGGTTCTAAAGATCACACATCAGGAAATTCAGCTGCAGCTGTATATATGCAAAGATTACAAGTCAACATTCAGAAAAGGATAACTAATTATGTATCAGTCTTTACAACAGAGCTAATAGCAATTTTATTAGCTATTCAATGGGTGGAGGAAGTTAAGCCTACTAGGGTAGTCATTTGTACAGATTCCTTGTCAGCTTTAAATAGTTTAATAAGTGAACAATCAACATCAAGAAAGGATTTAATCTATGAAGTACTTATAAATCTGCTTAGGATTCAGGAAATTGGTATAGTCCTGAGGTTCTTATGGGTACCTGCACATGTAGGAGTACTAGGAAATGAAATGGTTGATAAACTGGCCAAACAAGCAATAAAACATATGAACGTTGAGGTACAAATTCCACTGAGTAAAGTAGAAATAAAAGGAAGAATTAAAGAACACATGAATAAAAAGTGGCAGGAAATGTGGGACAAGGATTTAAAGGGCAGACACCTATACAATATCCAAAAACAAGTTGACAAAGGGAGAATATGCTTTAACAATAGAAAAGAAGACATAATTATTACTCGACTTCGAATAGGACATTCTGGTTTAAATCAGTCATTATTCACAATAGGGAAACATCAGTCAGGATTATGCACTACATGCAGTGAAGCAGAGACTATTGAGCATGTACTTCTACATTGTGCAGTATATACCAAAGAAAGAGAGGAGTTATTTAAGAAACAGAGATACATAGGAGTATTTAATTTCACTTCTTATGGGTACCTGCACATGTAGGAGTACTAGGAAATGAAATAGTCGATAAACTGGCCAAACAAGCAATGAAACATATGAACGTTGAGGTACAAATTCCACTGAGTAAAGTAGAAATAAAAGGAAGAATTAAAGAACACATGATTAAAAAGTGGCAGGAAATGTGGGACAAGGATTTAAAGGGCAGACAGCTATAAAATATCCAAAAACAAGTTGAAAGAAAAGGCCCTTATCAGAACCATAGATGTATATACGTAGATGCCTCATTAGCGACTGTTTCTATGGGCCGCTATACGTAAGCCGTCAGCCATATTGTAATGGTCAACTTGACGTCATTCACCATAGTAATCATTGAATATTCGAAAGATGCCACAATCCTGCACAGAACGGCTCAATGGCGTCAAGTTGACCGTTCCAAGATGGCGGCCGAATCTACGTGCCTGGCGCCGTCGAATGGGGAATCTATACATATCTTTGATCAAAACCCTCTCCAGCTTCCCTTCTTTTTTTTCCCTTCTCGCATTATGTCAATCCCATAAGCACGTATTCTGTTCCACACCCTAGTCCAGTCGGTGGCGGTAATGCACCTACAAGTTGGTTTGCCAACCGCCAATAATCACCAAAGAAGAAGAAGAAGCAGCAGCAGAAGAAGAACCCAGTCTCCAGCCCCTTTCCTGTACACGTCGCTTTACGGCTAATGTGACGTATGCATTAGCCTGGCAGCCACAGGAGTATAGTAGTGATGGGAAGTTCGGATCATTTTACCGACTCGGACCTTTGAGTCTCGTTCAGCAAAATGAACGAATCTTTTTTCGAGTCATTTCGTTCATTTTAACAAAATATAATTAAAATGTTACGTGTTACTTCCCTAATATGTCTACAACTTACGCAAACGTTGATCACACTACAAACAATACAAAACTGCTATGAACGAACGACTCGGAAAAACCCGAAGACTCGAACCAGGTGAACTACTTGACTAATTCCAGTACAGAACCTATAGGATGTTGCGCATGCGCGACTGAACGAATCACTCCCCGAGACGACTCGTTCTTCCCGAATCACATTAAAGATTCGTTCAAAACGAACGATTCGTTCAAGAACGACCCAACTGATGTGATCGTTGAACCTCCAAGTGTCGGATCAATGACAGATGAACACGGGCATCAGAGGCCAGTGGCTTTTCTGGCGTACAGGTAAATGTTTTGATACGGATGGTCATCATAAAATCGGCCAGCTGGTGGCGCTTTAGATGTACTTGAGGCATCTTGCTGTTTCACTTGTAAAATAAACAATAATCGAAACAAGATTGAAACAGTGATAAATCTTATAAAATCCCAGTTATTGAATTAGCGTCTCCAAACTGTAACGTGAAAGTGTAGTGCTGAATGATTGTATTCTCTTTTAAAGAGTGAATGGGCAGTACATTATGGAGGGGTTGGCCTCCAGCTTTCTCTTCACCATGGGAGGCCTTGGCTTCATAATTCTGGATCGCTCTAATGCGCCCAGCATTCCCAAGCTCAACCGTTTCCTTCTGCTCTTCATTGGCTTTGTCAGTGTGCTGCTGAGCTTTTTTATGGCCAGAGTCTTCATGAGAATGAAACTACCGTAAGTCACTAAACTTTACCAAAGTCCCTTTAAGGCAAGTCATGTCACTCGGCAGCCATCTTTGAAACGCCTCTCGGGCATGCACGTGCAGCTCCTATCTCTTTGAATGGGGAAACATCAAATTCTCCAAAACTTTTCACTAATCTTACGATTAAATTTCATATTTGAAATCAGCAATAAAATCGGACAACAACTGTATCATAAATGTTGTTTATTTTGCTCAAATAGCATTATAAAAAGCTTATTTCTTAGGCCATGTCCACACGTACACGGGTATTTTTATAAACAGAGTTTTTCTTTCATCCGTTTTGAAAAAAATCTCCATCCACATGAAAACGCAAACGCATGCTATGAAGCACTGTCAAGAGCATGCCAAACCAACAGGTGGCAATATAATCTCAATCGTAAAGCCATGTTGGCCAATCAGAAGCCTGAAAAAGTTTCCATTAGGCGGAGATAACAGCACAGGCTTCGACGTCACAAGCCAAAAACTCAGTTTTCGCTACACGATAACACTGCAACCGGAGTTTTTGAAAATCTTTTCCCAGGCAGGCGTTTTCAAAAATGTTCGGTTTCAGTGACCTGGTGCTGCGTTTGCGTGTGGACGAACGGCCAAACCGTGTAGAAAAAGCTGCGGTTTTAAAAATAACCGCATTCGTGTGGACAGGGCCTTAGGCTAGACCAGCCAGTGCGCATGCGCACGTCTCAGAATGCTGACTGTTTCTATAGCAACCGTGACTTCTAATGGCAGCTGCAGTGACGCGATGACTTTACTGATTAGTGATTGGCTCTTTTGCTCAGAAGGTGGGGCTTCGTTCGATAGAGCGGCCATATTGAGTGTTGCGTTTTTCCCCATTCAAAACTATACGAGTGACACGTCTTGGGTATTCTGTTGTCTTTGACTTTACATTAGCTTTTTTAACATTATTTATATGTTTATATTGTATTACACTACCAGACCGAGGTTTGGACACACTACTCATTATTATTATTATTATTATTATTATTATTCTCAGTGTATTCCAGAGAGATAGCAGCAATGTTTTAGCACTGTTTCTTTAAAGCTGTATACATATGTCATCATATTATAGTTTTAGACCACAGTCTCTCTTGTCTTGTCTTTGAACTCTCTATTTCTAATGATGATCTGAATGTGTTTGTCTTGCAGTGGTTATCTTATGGGTTAAAGCTGCAATATTGCAAATGCTACAGGCAGAGATGAAAAAGAACATACAGAAAACCATGTTTCATTGCCAAGGACTACAGTCTCATTCAAAGTCTGATAAATTATTTCCACTGGCAGAATTTCCCTCACTTTTTTTTTTTTTTTGCATACATACAATTTTGTCTAGTAGGACTCTTACCTTACTGGTTCATAAAAATGTGCTAAATTTACTTCTCAACATTGTTGATAAACATTTCCTTGTAAAAAGTCCACAGGATGGTCAATATTATATCGATATAATCCAGTTTGCATATCTCCTTATAACTGTTATTTTGTAGACGGCCTGTTCATAAATGTGGCTGCTTGATGTGCAGTTTTTTCTATAATAAACAAATACTTAACACAAAACTTTGCAACATTTGAATTTTTCGATGATTTTAAACAATACTTTATTATTTTATAACAAAAATGAATTGCTTATTTACAATAAAATCCTCTTTTAAATTGATAGAATACTGTAGATTTAAAGTCTTGAATGTTATGTTTGCAGTGAAATGCATTTTACAAGGTATTGAAAAAAATTGTATCTTGCCATAATAATATGAGGGTTATATATTTGCCTTGTCCAAATACCCACACTTGCGGTCTTGGCCACTTGAGAGCGCGTGCGCACGACAAGAAGTAAGTACGCAAGACTGTCCCAGCTCCAGAGCGCTATTCAAGGCTTAGTGTATTCCATCGTCAAGCATCATGTTTTGGAATACATTGTGACATTTTTGCTGAGATCTCGCGAGAGATCATGGAAACCTTTCCAATGTAAGTTAAATATTAATATAATAATTAGATAGGGCCTATTACATATAATTTGGTAGAAAAACAAAGTGTTGCACGTTTTATTGGTGCAAAGATGAGTAGTGGTGACATTGTACAACATTTGCAACTGCTTTTTATCACTTAATTAGAAGCACCAAAAATTTAATTCTGTTATGTTATAGGAACTACTGAACAGACATTTAGAAGTACATTTTAAAATTAAAATAAAGCTATGTAAGTACTTGCATTTTTACAACACTATCCCCCGGTTTCACAAACAAGGCTTGGGCCTAATCCCAGACATTAAACTTTTGGCTTGTCTTCCGAGGCCACAGGAGGGCGCAATGAGCAAAATAATGCAGCACATTAAATTGTCAACGCAAGGAAGTAACTGTCTATAAAAAATGTGCATTACGTCTAAATTAACTCATATAAATCAAATATAATTTTGTAAATTGCATGAACAATTATGAACAAAACAGCATCACGTATTTATGCATTGCTTAATACATTTATGCATTGCTTATAAAATTTGCGACGTGTTTTCTAAAAGTTTAAACTATTTTAACTTTGCATGGCTGTCTACCCCTGCGTTCCGTTCGGAAGGGCTCATCCCTATGCCCTAATCCCAAATTCAAAGGGTTCCTCCGGAGTGAGAGCTTTGAAGGGTTGAAGGGTGTAGGGGACCAAACAACTGTTTCTTGAAGTGCCCTTCCACACGGAGGCGCCGTCATCATGCAAAGAATCTGAGCAAAGGATCATGGGAGCCCGAAGTGTCCATCAGTTGTACCCTTCGAAATCCTTCATTCCGAAGGGCCCTTTGAAGTGGCCAGTTTTGAGCACTTCGGTTTGGAATGACCTTTCAATATGGGGACCTTGATTGTTTTCACTCCGAATTGCCCTTAGGAGGGCGATATATCCCATTTGGAATGCACCATACATCTCTTGTGTGAGAGGTGAGTGCAGCAGTCGTATTTGTCCATCTAGAAAATGCACTGAATATGCGTTCTGTGTGAATGGCTTGGTTTCGGTTTTAACCTAATCAAGATCTTCTAGGCATTGAGCTACTATATTTCTCTAATATTTTGAATGAATAACGCAGCAACTGCGTGTCTCGTGGGCTAGACTAACAAAACATTAAACTACAACGTCACATCATCATCACCGTGCTCCACTGATGACGCTCCCTGACGCACATCTAATATTGGATTGTACTATTTTTTGCATCAAATGCAAATGTTTATTTTAAATTCTACTAATATTCATTCTTTACTCACAATCTCCTCATCACAGGCAGGGACAGCACTCATTTTGTGTTTGCGTGTGCTGTCTGCGTCACTCATAGCACGTGCCTATATTGAACATTTTTTATATCGTTATCAAAGAAGGTGTACCGTCGATAAATATCGATACCGTTTTATCACCCAGGCCTATACGATATTTAGTCTTGCTTCTTGGGGTAAACAAGTCAAATTAATTGCCAGCGGGGTAAGAAAAATAATCTTAATGAAAATGGAAACAAGATTATTTTTCTCACCGGACCATTTTCATCATGCAGACATGGTTAATGTGACAAAAAAAATGGCATGTCTTTATGTAAGGGATCCTGTAGATGAGGAGGCTGCATTACATCAGGAGAGGATTTAATTTAATTTAATTAATGTATTTTGCCATATCCACATGCATATTTATTTGAACGGTACCATTTTTAAATGGCGTTCATTTGATAACATCTTGTTGCGACCTCTAAGTAACATAATAATTAGAATTTCCTTTAGAATTTCCAGTGTGGTTGGATGCATTGATTACACACATATTCTCACCATCACACCTTCCGAAAATGAAGCTGATTACTGTATGGAATGGAAGGATGCCAGATGGAAGGGTAGTGCGAGATATATGCCGTAACACAGCTGATAAATAAACAAATTATTCACAGTTTATTTAGTCATCTTTATGTTCTACAAATACAAAAGCAACAATTATTATTTTCCCTGTTGGATTTTAATATAGGGAATCTCCTCTTCATCTGTCAGTGGTGGTGGTGCAGTTTCTCCTCCCATTTTACGAGTCGCCTTCTTGCTGTTGGCTTCTGAATAGAAGTCAAATGTTTTTCATTACCCTAATTAAGAAATTTATGTTGGATTAGACAACATTTAATTATGAGAAAAAGCATTAGACTATGTGGAAAAAGCTGCTGCACATTGAAATAGATATACACAATGATATTTATTGAATGTCAAATATTTGTAAAGTCATGTAATGTTAGCCTACACCCATTTCACGCTTGAAGCTTTACCTGATTGACTAATAGGTCCGCAGGTGTTGCCGTACTTTTAAATAATTTTCCTGGGAAGATTTTAACCACTGTTAGGGATACTTGTGGTCACTGGATAATTTGTGTTTTTGAAATAAATGAAAATGTTTTGATTTTGGGAAATATATATGGATATAATAATCATAACCAAAACAAAATTTTAATTACTGAGATTACAACAGTTGTTAAGGATCTATGCCAAAGGTATCCTACTGAAGATTTTATTTTTGGAGGGGATTTTAATATGGTGATAGACGAATGGCGTGATAGATCTCCTTCAAAATACCTGAGACACCATTACAATCCCATATTGCTAGACTTTTGTAGTGTGTTTAAATTGATAGATATATGGCGCACTAAAAACCCTGGTATTCAAGTTTTCACGTGGTTTAAACCTGATGGTTCAGTCAAATCCAGGTTAGATTTCTGGTTAGTCTCTGAATTTAGATCTGGTCTGGAGTCAGACTCTATAGTTTCTGCTGCACCATTAACTGACCATTGTATGGTTAAGCTTATTCTTAGACCTACAAATGCATATCAAAGGAGAAAAGGTTATTGGAAATTCAATTCAAACCTTCTACATAGTGAACCCTTTTGTCATGAAATTATAGCTACAATTAATAATATAAATGGAGATTCAAATTTTAAAATTTATAGAGAGAAATGGGAATATTTAAAGTATAAAGTACGTCAGATCTCTATAACGGCAAATTATTAAGCAGGAATAGTAAAAAAAAGAATTGGAAATTATTAAAGATCATTAATCGTTATAATCATTAATTATTAAATCGTTCTTAAGTGAAAATGATAAACAAAAATTACTTCTCCTTCAATCTTCGTTAGACAACATTTATGTTGATAAAGCCAAAGGAGCATATATAAGATCGAGAGCAAAGTGGATAGAGGAGGGAGAAAGGAGTTCAGCATATTTTTGTAGACTGGAAAAAAAGAGACAAGAATGAAACAGCGTAGGATACCATGAAAATGATTATTAGTTCAATAAATTACCTTTCTGCCAGTTTTCACCTCTGATAACGTTGATTTAGAATTAAAGTTACGTATTCCATAGTATGTGGAAGTCTTTTTGGCGGGAGCTGTTGCCATGGTGAACCGTAATTTCGGAGCTCCATTGATCATGGCTTTTCATAGTCCTGGTCATAGACTGTAAAAAAGATACAGTCCGAATCCCATATTCTTCCAACTACAATGAAGCAAGGGGTTATCACTCTTATCCGTAAACCTGGAAAAAATCCTAAATTAATAGACAATCTTCGGCCCATAACCCTGCTTAATAATGATTATAAGATTTTTATGCTAACAGGTTAAAAACTGGAGTTTCACAGATTATTTCAGAGACACAGTCAGGCTTTTTGAAAGGCCGCTCAATTCACAATAATATACGACTTGTGCTTGACTTACTGGATTATAATTATTTAATTAAAGATGGTTTCATTTTATTTCTAGACTTTTTTAAAGCTTTTGACATTATCAAACACAAATTTATGTTTCGTACTTTAGAATTATTTGGTTTTGGAGAAAATTTTATTAATCTAGTTAAATTTATTTATAAAGACACAAATAGCACAGTTATATTACCACATGGTATATCTCCAAGATTCTCAATTGACAAAGGAATCAAACAAGGTTGCCCCATCTCTCCCCTGCTCTTTATTGCTGCTGCAGAAATGCTCTCCATTCTTATAAAAAATTCTGATTTTGAAAAATTGACAGTATTTGGCAAACAGTTAGTCATCAGCCAATTGGCAGATGACACAACCATATTCATGAAAAACATTGATCAAGTTCCAAAAATTCTCCAAACCATAGAGTTTTTCTCAAGGGCATCTGGCTTAAAGTTAAATCTTAAAAAATGTGAATTACTACCGATTCATAACTTTCCTCTGTCAACCGTTTACAATATTCCTGTTAAAGACACTATTAAATACCTAGGTATACACATTACAAAGGATAATAATTCACTTAATAATCTCAACATTTGGATAACTTTGATAAGTGTAAGTCCTACTTAAACTTGTCTCAAAGAGACATTTATATTATTGGCAGAATTTTTCTTACAAAAATGGAATGCATTTCTAGACTCATTTACCCAGCCTACTCGATCTCTTTTCCTAAAAATGCAATAAAAGCTATAAACCAATAAACTTTAATTTTATTGAAAAGAAAAACACACTACATTAGAAAAGGAATGTTGGCCAAAGAATATGAAGAAGGAGGACTAAAAGCCCTTGACATTGAATGCAGTAATGGTACGATTAAAACA